TCTCTATAACGGTCTCTCTCTATAACGGCCTTTTTTTGCCAAATCAGGCGGGCCGTTATAGAGAGAGTGAACTGTATTTTTAACAAATTAAATTGAGATAAATGCTTTTATGATTAAAAAAAAAATTCAATGATCCAAAAAGATCTCGATACTAAGACCAGACCGCGGTTCATTTATTCTGGACCAGACCATTAACATCAGGAAGTTTTGAACCTGCCTGGTTACAGACAAAAATGTGCACGATGTAAATATTATAATTATATAAGTTATATGAATCAAATGGAAGATATAAAAGGCGTTTAAGAAGATACCAGCTCAGGTTTTACAATATTTTCTTAATAATAGTAATAACAATAGCAATGAATCATCCTCATTATCATCACCATTACCACCGTCAACAACAACAATAACAACAAATTCAAGGGTAATTCATCAACCCGTTAAGAATTTCCTAGACCGAGTTTCAGAATTTGTTTGCAAAATCAATTTATCAATGTTTATAAATTACAAAATCCAAAAAAAAATAACAAAATACTGAAAATGATGATAACAATTAAGATAAAATGCTGGTTATAATGAGGACGAGGAAGATAATTTTAGTACTGATTAAAATGAAGAAGATGATAAAGAAGAGGGAGAGGGATGAAGAGAGGAAGAAGAAGATGGCGATAGTTGAACATCTGATTAAAGAAGCTTGTCTATAACATAACAATGCTATCTTTTTTACGATTTTTTTTGATTTTTTAAAATTTGTACTAGCAGGTATCTAAAACTTATAGCAAAAATTACGTTTGAAATATGAAGGTTGATAAAACATTTTTAAAATATGGCTTTGTTGTGTTGTAGAGACATGTTCTACGAGTTCAAACCATTAAAAAGTCTCATCTGCATGATGATTTATGACAATTTATGGAAAAGGCGATTTCTTTAATATTAATTATATCGGACACTTTGACGGGTGAACGACACCACAAAGTTCAAAAATGGCAAGTAAACATCACTATTAATCATACGTAGCTCATGGTATTTCGTTTTTTCCGAAGCAACAAAGGCTAATACTAAGTACCAAAATATTCAACATCGCCAGGGATTATAAAACCCTAATCAACTTTGATAGTGTCAAGTGATGTCTTCAAGATTTTGTTTTGTTTCCTCAAATGGAATAATAATAAACGAACATCTTTTTAATTTATTTTTAGCTTGCATATATGACTGTTTATAAAAATCTGTCTTATTATTATAGTCGCATTTTGTTATCAAATTATGTATTATGTATCGATAATAATAACAGCCAAGCGTCATCTTAGTCAAAAGTGATTTTCCGGTGATCATTATCGGATTTCACTACTGTTGATTTTCTATTGTCTCTGCTCTGGTGACGGGTATTAATACTGTTTTGTATGGTACTATGTAAAAATTTCCATTTACCATTATCAGTAACAAATTTGTTGGATTCACTTGAATTGCTTTCTTGACAGCAATTTTTACTTTCTGATTTTAATTTTAGTTGTAATGGTAGCGGATGATTCCATTTCATATCTGAATTGGAAACCTCGTTTATTTCTATGGTTATAATTAGATTTGTCAGATTTGCGACGTTTTCATCTTACACCCTGTTAGATTTATAATATTACTAGTATTATCGTTATTCGCTTATTTTATAGGTGGATGTCATATTTTATGATCTCTGCTTTTTACTTTCCTTTAGGATGTTTATTTTTTATAATTAATAACTATATAAATTAATTATTCAATATAATCATTATCATTTGCATTATGGAGTTAGGGAGGCTACATTATTTTTAGCAATTCTGGGTTCTGGATAAATTAAATTTAATTCATTATTTTTCTTAACGTTGTAATGCAGTAGATCTACTCTATGAGCAATGGGCTTTACAGTGATTTAAGGTTAGTAATAGTAGTAGCAGATCAACAAAATCTGATCGAAATATTTTTAAATTCATGTAATTATTAATTATTAATATTATTATAGTAGTAGTAGTAGTAGTAGTTTTGGTTTTAGTTTTAATAAGCCTTTTTAGATTATTAACTAATCCTCCCAAAGAACCATCGGATTAGCTTTAGTAATAGCAAAATAATTATCTTGGTAATTACAATTAAAAAATTTTTTAATAATTAATTGACTGATGTTGGTGTTGGTGTGAAGAGTACTTTTGAAAAAGATTCTCCAAAGTTGAATAGTGAAAATAAAACCTCTATTATAGATAATAGTAATAAAAGTAAAACACCAATTATCTCAAAAAAAATTTCAGATGATGAATATTTAATTGTATCTAAAAAAACACTTGGGTATAACCAAGCAATTATTTCACATGAAAATATTCAGACTTCACAACCACCACAAAAAATGCCAACAAAAGATGAATATCAAATAATTGATGCAGATAAACATCTTATTATGCAACAGAAATTAAGAAATTCTCCACCATCGAATAATTTATTGGAAAAATATGAAGGTTGTAATGATGAAGCTATCCAAGAAATTTACCATTCAAAGAGTTTACATTATACAAATCATAAAATCAATAATGCTAACAATAATATTGATGATCCGGATGTAATTTATTCAGATTATCAACAACAACAAAAAAATTACAATTTCACGTCTAACGAAATTTTTAATAATGATAACGATTATGAATCAAATCACCATGATAATTATAATAATATGTTATCATATATGCCAAAATCATTTACAAGTCGTGAAAGATCAACACCCCCTGATGATTATGAAGTGTATACAGCAAGAAAATCTTATTCTACCACTCCATTACCAATTAATAAACGTGGTAATTCAGTTGCTGATATCAAAGAACGGTTCATGACGAAACATAATAGTATTGATAGCAATAGATCTGTAAGCAATTTAATTAATAATTTTTTTTATAAAGTTAGTAATATATGAAATATATGAATATATTTTGATCGAAATGACTTCTTTTTTTTTTTTTTTTTTGATAAATAGTCTTCACCGCCAATTCGTGATTTACCAAGATCTATATCAGGCAGAGTTAATGATATAAAATCAAAACTTGGGGATGAGAGAAATCGATCAATGAATCCTTCTTATCTCCAATTACCAAAATCAAATCGTGGTGGAGATTACCATCGTAATAACATGAGTTATAATGATATTAATAACAACAATTTTTACAGTGATGATTTGGTATGTATTTTAAAATTAAGTTTGTTTACAATAAAAAGATATATATATATATATATATATATATTAATATTAATATATTTTATAAATAGCAAGATGTTGATGAACATTTTATTAATAATTCAGAAGAAATTTTGACATCTGGAGGGAATCATCATTGTAATTGTTATGAATGCCAACAAAAACTTGTTTCTATGAATTCAAAAATTATTACTTCCTCACCACCATCAATCATCAATAATAATAATACGAGAACAAATCATCATAATCAACAACATCATAATTCAAATCAACATCAACGTCATATTAATCATCAAACTCACAATCAGAATCTTTATCATAATCATCATAATCAACATCATAATTCATTTAACAATTATGGAAGAAGTGTTGGATCTAGATGAGAAAATTAATGTATTATTGATTTATTTATCTTTAAACAATTGTATTATAGTGTAATAGTGTATTATTTTATTATTTAATTTATTATTTATATTATATATTATTTATTTTTATAATTCATTAATTTATAATTTATTATGTATATATATTTTATTTATTTATTATAATTATTATAATTAAATGATTATTTTTATAAAATACATATATATATATTTTTATAATAACAAATAATTTCCAGGAACTAACTGACTTTTA